AGGACTTCAGGCAACTGCTAATGAGTAAATGGAGCAAATAAGCTAATTAGAAGAGTGATAGTCAAATGAGTGATGTTGGAAAGATGATTCATTCCTGCAGCGATAAGCAGGCCACAGCACAGAGACCATTTCAGGAACATGCACCTTCTCTCCTTGGGGTAGGACTGCTCTCAGAAGGGGCTGTGCTATGCCCAGCTGCAAACGTAGGAAGGTAGATTTTTCACAAAAACTTTTTTTGATGGTGATAAGCACCCAAATAAGTGTCCTGAGCTGCAGACGCACCAAACATGACAATCAGTGTGAGCAGCACAAGCCTCCATCACAGAGACCTTCACAGAAGGTCTCCTGGTCTGGAGGGAGACCAAAGGGTTTCCCCGCTTCTAAGATCACGTGTCTGGGTACCGCATCGTGCTATAAGGCCAGTCCCCCACCCCTACATCATCCTCATTCCTGATTCCTTCTTTGGACCAGTTGGGATACCATGATGTGAAGAAATGGCACGAACATGAGCTGTGGAGCCCGCCACCAGCTCTTCACAGAGCAGGCTGGGTCCTTGTGAGTCTGCTAACATCCCACGTGTGAGGGTGAAACATCCCAACCGGTAATAACAGGGACACTATGCGGGGTGAGGAAAGGCTCAGCCTGACCCTCCAGTGAATCTCTGCTGCCCAGAGGATACCCCCACTGCCAGCTGTATGGGGCTGGAGGCACTGGGGGAAGCTGCTGGCAGCCCCGCAGCACCATGTTCAGTGTTGGTTCACTCTCCCTCTATGTCACAACCATCTACAGTAAGGCAGAAGGGTCAAGGGTTGGAGACGGAGCCACAGCAGACAGCTCAGCCAGGTGTTGCTCTCACCTGCATGGGCCTGGCGAACATGTTGGTCAGCACTTCTTTCCTGGCTTCAGAGTATTTGTCAGCACCAAATGTTTCATTTAAGCTTTTCTGGAGGAGAAAAGAGAGAGAGTATTCAGTGTTGGCAAGCTGTGGTGATAGGGGGACTCAGGCAGACCTTACTGGGGCAAACAGCAGCTCGTCAGAGCCAAATTCCTCCTTTCCCCGCAAATCTCCCTGTAAACCAAAAAGCGCACATGAAATTGGATTTTGCTTTGGTGCCAGCAGCCCCAACAGGACAGCACACACAGTCCTGAGCGTTGACCCACCTCCCAGTGTCAATGGCAGGGAGCACCCAGGGCATGGGGACCACTGGCTCTGTCCCCAAATGTGCAGCATGCAAGAGTGCCCGTAACCCCTCTCCTGGCCTGTGCTGGCCTCCCATCCAGCTACTGAGAGCTTCAGCGCATGGATCAACAGGACTCTAGGGAGATGTGGATATGGGAGGTCACTGCCTGGGGCTAACAGCGAGGAAGGGCTGGAGGGTTCAAAGTGCAGAAGAGGAGCTGATTGTGCAGCCCTGCATCTGCTGACATAGCCTCAGCACAGCCAGCAAGCGGGGAAAGCAGACCCAGCTGACAGAGGGGTGTGCGGGTGGCCAGCGGGGACGGGATTAACAGAGGATTATCCGCAGTCCAGTTGCGGTGAGTAAAGAAAATCCTGGAAACTGTGCTGTGCTGTTCAGCTGGAGTTCAGCCTCAGGACACGCTCAGCAGAGGATTGGTCAGATACCTCCCGTGCTGGCTGCATCTGACCTTTCCCAGCACTGCTCTCCAGTCCTTCCCAGTCCCCGCTCCCTACCCTGCCCTCCCGAAGACCTTCAGCAGCCCAGACAGAAACGCCCCCTTGCAGAGCTAATTTTCCTGCGGTACAGAGCATGTGCCCTGCCCAGGACGTGCTGAGAAGGCAGAGAAAGAAAATGTGGGTATCCCAGCAAGTGCCCCAGCACTGAAACATCCTTCCCATTGTGGAGAGGGCAGCATAGGGTCACCTGCAAGGTCCTCCTCACCTTGCTCTAAGCTCTGTGCACAACACTGGCTGACCAGGACAGGCTGGGCCACCCTCGTCCAGCACTGGTGGGGTCAAGAGCAAGCGAGGGAGGTCTTTTGTTTTGGCATGGGACAGTTGTCAGGTCTGCTTGAGCAGAGGGGGACGGGGAACAAAGCACACGCTGCTGCAAACATGCCATCATGTAGCTGCCCACCCTTCTCCCCCATGGCCCTGCTCCCCGCCGGGCCAGCGCACTCACGTGCAGGGTCCCTGCGCTGCTGAAGTCAATGTCGAGGCCAACTTGGTTGCAAAACTCCATGAGGTCTTTCAGCAGCTTGGTCTGGGGTGGGGGGTGGCGGCGAAGCAGGGCCTGCTCGGGGAAGGAGCGATAGATCTGATGGGCCACGGCCATGTTCGCGAGCAGCATGAACTCTTCCACCAGCCTGCAGCACAAGAAAAACAGCCCCAGGCCCCAGTTAGAGAGGGGAGTCCCCTGGGAAGCCAAGCCAGTCCATAGTGAAGGGAACTAATGCGACACAGGGGAACAGGGGAGCAGCTTGTAGTTGCCATTATAAGCACAGATTAGATGTGAGACTGCAGCAAATCCCCCCCCCCCAAATTCTCACTTTCTGGCTGAGGTTCCCCCAGGGACTCAAGAGCGCGCCATCCTGCTGGTGCAGACAAGCAGAAGTCAGTGATAAATTGACAGCTTAAATTAGGATAAAATAATCTCCCTTTAGGTCATTTTATCTCCTGAAACGCTCAACAAGCAAAACAAACGCTGTGTGAGAGAGAGCACAGAAAACAAACACACATCGCTCTCTTCCTGGGCCAGAGAAAACAGCGTCTCGCTCGCTCCCCCATCCCGAGCTCGACATGTGTGGTCAAGCCCAGCTGCCGAGCCCGGCCTTCGCGCCGGGCTTCCACCCAGAGCAAGATGCAGCGCAGCCCCTGGGCAGGGCAAGCCACCAGTGCAGCTTGCTGCGGGGCTGCCTCCGGCATCCTGGCGATGCAAGGACTCTGGGGGCTCCTCCATGCAACCTGCAGACTGCTGGGGGTACCCCAGGCTGGGGTGAACCCCCTCCTTCTGCCTCTGAACATACACGCATTGAATGGAAATCTCTGGGGCTATGCACTGCAAAGGAAAGCAATCCCAGTGCTAGAGATCATCTTTGGAGCATTTATGAGTTGTGCTACCAGCTGTAGGGCTGTGCCACAGGAGACTTGTTAAACTGGGCTTAGATAAGCAGAGAGATGTGCTTAACTGGGCTTCCTGCTATTTGCTGCAAGTATTCCCAGGGCTCCTAACTGGTACTAATTGCCAAAAAAGAAAACAGATTTACAGAAGTAACCTCATCCTCTGAGCAATGCCTGAGTGAGCTGTGACTGATTACGCCGGCTCAGCCCTATTGCTCCTGCAGGCAAAGCAGCAATTTTGCAGGGCTGGCTGGGGGACCCGGGCCAGAGCTGGTGGCCATGCAGCTCCTGGCCCTGGCCATTGCTTGGGGGGCTAGCCAGGTGAGATGTGCTCCTGGGGCCCTCGCTTTTTTTTAAAAGAGAAAGGAAATAAAGGCAAGCCCAGAGGAGGAATAAGCACCTGATGTTGATAATCAAGTGATGGAAATGTTTGTCTTTACTGGGAAGGAGCCCTTAATAAGAGCCTTGTGGGTTCTCCCAGAGCGTGCTGTGCCAGAGGCTGGTATGTCAGAGCCCACAGGGAGGGCAGGAGGGACACCCTCTCACATGGGCAGTGCGGGAAGGGGTGGGGAGCAGCACAGCCTAAATGGGAATGGGCCACCCATCCTGTCCCCCGAAACACCTGCCAATTGGCAGATGCTACCAGAAGGCCACGGGCTGGGTCAGGGGATGGGCAATGGGCGGTGTGGGAGCAGGGTCTGTACACGCTCGTGAAGGGCGACTTCCAAGAGGGTTGAGCCAAGCTCTTGCTGCTCCTGTGCAGCTAAGCCAGCAGATGGCAACATCGGTCCCTCTATGGCCACTGGCACTGGGGGGCTGTGGGACAGCATGGCCCAAGGGTGCTGGGCACCCCAGCTGCGCCTCACCCAGGGGTGGGCGGCTGGGCAGGGAGCAGCACCCAGCGGTTATGGCACGGCCATCCCCATCTCCTGGGTTTGGGTGGACCCACCAGCTCCCACCCAGCTGCTGCGCTTGCAGACAGCACGTGGGGAACAGTGGCCTGAGGACACATGTGAGGCTGTGCTGGCCCACACTTGTACCTGGGAAGCCCTTTCTGCCCAAGCCAGCTCGCAGCAAGGCACAGCAAAGAGTTCAGGGTGCAAAAGCCGTGCCTCTCCTTCCCGTGGGCTTTGGTGCAAAGAAAAAGGGAGACATTTCCAGCACTAGCACCAGCTACACAGATGCACACATGGGCAAAGGTTGGCCATGGAGTTCCTGTGCCTCGCTCAAAATGTGGCCTCTAGAGACTGAGGTGCAAAACCTTTTTTTAAAGACAAATCAATAAACACCCATGAACAGCATTGCTTCTTTGTCACAGGCGCAACATGCTTATCTCCCGTCCTAGACATGAACACTGTGAGTGCTCAAGCAGCCCCTGCCATTCTTGCTCCTGTTGCGCACTGGAGGGTGCAGCCTTACCTCTTACCTCCAGCAACGCTTTGGGCTGGATGCAATTTCCACCTGATTATTAAGTTCCTTTTTACCATTCTGGGGCTTGGGGCTTTTAAATTTTCCTGGAGATACCCTTGTTCTGAGGTTGCAGGTAGCACTGATGTGAAGCTAATACCTGAGCACCTACCTGCCAGGGATGCTTTTACACCCAAAGGAAAACTAACAGCACATACTTCCCACTTCCCTCTTCAAAACCCCATCCTCTCTCCCTTCAACATGTCCACACGTGGAGCACCAGCCACCAGACAGCATCCAATACAGCCCCCATCAAGAGGAGATACCCAGCACGTGGTTGGATTGACCACACAGGCAGGAAAATCTTATCAAGAAGCACCCAGGAGCTTTGCACCCGTGACAGGGTGTGCAGGACGTGACCCTAGATATTCAGAGTTGTAAAAGCTACTTGTCTTGCTCGATCACCCAAAGGCTGGGGTTGACTTTGTGAGCCACAGCTGCTGTTTGTGCATCTAAGGAGCAGATAGCACGGATGAGGTTGGACACTGCCCTGTATCCAGGGGGAAGAGAAGCCCCAGGACCCCGTGGGTTGGTTCTGTCAGCTCAGGTTAACAAACCACAGTGGCCCAGGCAGGCTCACTGCCCTGGGGGTTGATGCCAAAAGACCCTGCAGGGGCAGAGGGTCCTTCCCAGCTCTGGATCACCCACATGCACCCTGTTGCAGCAGCTCTGCGAGCATGAAAGCGATGAATGGCGTGGGGCTGCTCCGTGCTAACTCCTGGACAGGTTTGTTTGAAAGATCAAGATTTAGTCCTCAGGGAGAGGAGAGCAGCTTCCAGAAGGGACAGGTCACAGCTGGGCTAATCCAGAGCATGTGAGAGCCTGCCAAGGTCAGAGGGAAAGGGCTGAGGACAGTGAAGAGCTGGCAACTGTACCCAGAGTTAAGCCAGGTCACCTCTTCTGTAGCGGAACAGGGTCTGTGGCTCAGGACACAAGGAGGGAGCCAAGATCTGCAACAAACAGCTTAACGTGGTGGTCTCACTGCACCTAAAAGGAAAACCTTATTCCCATGTGGGGCTCACGCCGAGACTCTGCAGAGGACATCGGAGACTCAGGAGGCTGAGCCAGGGCTGGGACAGCCCATGAAGCTGGCATGGCTTTGGGTGCTGAGGAGCAGCAGGGCACAGCGAAGCCGCTGCCTTCCCACCCTCCCCACGTGGTCTTTTAGCTGCACTTTTAGCTGGCGTCCTCACCAGGGCTTTGACTCGGCAAGTGCTACACCACGGCTTGGAAAAAAGCAATGGATGCTGAGGCAGGCGGGAGCGGAGGCTGGCTGGTAGCGGCTGGGGGCCAGACCAGCGCCGGGCACTGGCGTTCCTGGCAGCCGTGCTGAAGCCCTGCTAACTCGTTGGCAGGTCAAACGACACGAGGGTTTGTTGTTTTTTTTTTTTTCTTTTTTCTTAAAACAGCCTAGCTCGGAGTTTGGCTCGGTGCGGCTGGCAGATGGGAGTGCAAAGAAAAATATTTCATGGCTAAAAAAATGGAGACAGAAAGACTGGTCCATCTGAACGCGCGCTGAATGAATCCCATGTGAAACGCATTCTAACGCCATTGCTACAGTTTCCTCTGGATTAGCTGAGCTATCCTTGGCTCCCAGCTCCATAAAATCCCATAAACAATCTGATCTGAACTTTTGCCCTTTCTGTGCTGATGCGAGGTTTCCTCTGCTGTCCCGCGGAGAGGGCTGGGGGTTAGCAGGTGGCTGTCCCTCCCGTAGGTGCCTCCAGATCCCGGCTGTCCTACTTGCTGGGGCTGCAGGAGGGAGCGTTTCCAAACCTGTTCAATGCATCATTTAACGTGTGCACATGTGAGAGGGAGGAGAGGGAGGGGCGGGAGAGCTTGCGAGGTCTGTAACATGCATAAGCATCTTCTGCCGGCTCTTTCAATACCCTGATTTTGCTTATGAGTTATGGGTTTGGTTCAGGAGTTAGTGGGTGAAACTCTATAGCCTGCCTTATGCAAGAGGTCAGCTGGAGTGTATGGTTTTGAAAAGCACTCGCCTCCAAGTTTCAAACGTGATTGAGGCATGCCGGCTCCTAAATCCCACTGACTGCTGGGGAGCTTTCAGGTTCCTGAGATGCTCTTAAACACAGGACTTGGTGCTTTTCAAATTATCTTAAATGATAGTCCCAGCTCCTGTAGGCAAATAGCCATCTATGAAACCATCCAGTTGAAGAGGACTGATGACACCTCAGTGGCAGCCCCAAACCCAAGCTACTGGGCTGTAACTCCTCACACAGCTCCTACCAGAGCCAAACATCCGTGGGATGCGGGAAGAGCAGCTGCGCATTCAGACCTTGGAATTGCTTCAGTAGCAGTTTGCTCCAGAAAATGTTAGCTAGATCCTTCCCAATCTCTTGATAGCAACCTTGAAAAACTACTCACATCCTTGGCATGTTGGTTGGTTGATAGCAAATAAAATATTAGTTTCTTATGCAAAATCTCTGCAGGGCAAAGCGGGGCAAGTAAAATGCCTGTTTGGCTGCTTGTCTCCATGGCAATGCAGCCAGGCTATACAGCAGCCATCAAATTGCCCACTCTCCCTGATTAACTTGACAAATGACATTAGCTAAGCAAGGTTCACTGCAAGGGAGAGACAAGGAGTACTTTGTCTGCAATCCAGTAAGTGCAGGAAGGAGGCAGGCAGCTTGGTTAAAGCGACGCGACATTAAAACATCTGCTGTTCCACCAGCGTAACAGACCCGCAGGCTTCAGAGCAAACGGCGACGAGGTAGGGCTGAACAGACGAGCACAGCTCTTCCCCCCATGCTGCCTTCTT